AAGTATTTTGAACGCAAAAATACACTTATCTGTTTTATAGATTTTGTTAATTTTTCTAAAATATATTTTTTACACACTTGCATATTTAATAGCTTTCTTTCTTCCATCTAATATATTTTTTAGCGAAAATCAAACATAGTGATAAAACATTTTATTAATAAAAAAAATTCAGAAATTTTTTTCTATGAATTTTTTACCCCCATCGCTGCGATATCACTTCATCACTTATTCATTACTCCATGTTATACATCCCCTCAGAGCAGCTGCTCGAAAGGGAAAACTACTGTTCAGTTTCCCCCAACAAAGTGATCGGAAACCATTCATTTATCTTCGTTAGTATACCGGAGGCGAATTTCTATAGAATGACTTGACCGGTGGCAGTAATTATTTAGCCACACTTTATTACAACCTATTGGCGAACATTCGACAATGGATCGTAATTTTTAGACTGCTTTTTCGTGAAACGTTTATGCAAAAGAAAATCAGTCATTTTCTAAAGTCGTGAAGTACTTGATAGAATGTCTCAATCAGGCCAAAATTCAGCTGCGTCAGGAAAAGGTTATTTTACCCTCCGTCATGTATATCGACTTTTTTTTTTCATGTTTTTTTTCGTACTACCATTGACGTTAATAAATAAAAGAGGAAAAAAAGAACGAAAACTCAATTATTTTAGATAATTGATTAACAGACCCTTTAAAATTTGATATTTAATAAAATCCAACTCAGTTTGCTAACTTTGCAAACTAATATTAAAAATCATGAAGACAACTAGAAAACTAGGGGAAGAGCGGGCAAGATGGACCGCTTAAGGAAACTTGGTTTAAAAAATAGTAAACTAGAGCAATTTTATATCTTTTATATTGTAAATATATAGTGGGAACATTGCTCTTACATATCTCATACAGAAAATAAATAAATAATAAAGCTCAATAATAATAACTTAAGATAAACAAAAAGAGAGCATTGTCCCATCTTGCGTGGGCTACCCGGGCAAGATGGGTCACATAATTATATTTCAGAAATCACAGAAATTAATGTCAGAATAAAAGAATAATCGACAAAAAAACATTACAGTTACTGCATAAGAAGAGGCCAAAACCGGAATAAGCACTGCACGCTTCATGAGCCCATTCTAAGCAATCTGAATATAGTTTGTCAATTAATAAATTATAAATTATTTTTATAATTTTATTTAAATAATTTGTTAAGTTATATGTGCTAGTTCATATTTTTTGTTGTTGTTAATATTACCTTATTCTTTATGCTTTTTGCCAAATCTAGAGAGTTTAATTTTTATATTACACTTTTATTCTACTTTGGCTGTCTCATCTTGCCCGGTTCATCTTGCCCGGATAGTACATTTTTTAAAAAAATTATCTGCAAATTTGTTTAAACAAATAAATTTTAATTTTCACTACTCATTATGCTTGTACAATAATAGCACTACAATGCACACAAATTTGAAAAATTTATTGTAATGTATTAAACAAATAATAACGGCATACAAACCTGGAAAAATATTTTAACACGTTATAAGAAAAACAAAACAATGCTTGCATTTCGGTAACGCCTTGTGAACTGACGAAAAAACTTGTGCGTATTGAGAACAACAATATTTTATTATCGAAAACGCACTTTAGATTTCGCTACTGGGATACGCATAAAAGAAAAAGCGATGTCCCGTCTTGCCCGGGTGTCCCATTTTGCCCACTCTTTTCCTACTTAAATATTGCTTGAAAACGTTTGTTTTTTTTATTTATTTATTTTTTATTTAAGAAAATAAAAGTAATAAAATTGAAATTTCTTTACAAAATACTTGAAAATCTGATTATCTGAATTAATTATCTGAAATTAGACCGTAAATTATCTGAAAAGATACCGAATTAAAACATAGCCTTGCAAATGTATTTACAAAAATATTTTAAGTTTGTGGCTTTCAAGTTTTCTTCTTTTTAATAAAGCTTATTTAGAAAAATTCTAAGATTAATTTGCTGATTAAAAATTAAATTGCAAATTGCAGATAAATACAGAAACAAGCATGATCTATTTTTTAAGCTCCAAAAAATGATGCATTTTTTTCCCTAAGAAAAAATATTATTCTCTAATCCTATTCTAATCTAATCCTACTCTTATCTTTCTAGGAAAAAATATTTTTCTCCATCAAAAAATAATACTTTTTTCTATGGAAAAAACTATTATTCTTTTTTCATAAGAAAAATTATTATTCTTCATCGAAAAATAATATTTTTTTCTAAGGAAAAAAATAATATCCTATATTATTTTTAAAATAATATCCTATATAATATCCTATATTATTAATAAAAATAATATCCTATATAGAGAAATTTTCTTCATTTAAAAATATTTTTTTTCTAAGGATAAAATATTATTCGATCATTCTAAAAAAAATAATTATTCCCCATCAAAAAAGGTTTTTTCCCAAGGAAAAAATATTATCCCATCTTTCTATTATTCTTAATCAAAAATATTAATTTTTTATGATGAAAAAATATGTAGAATTCAAAGCTAGTTTCAGTCAACACTATTCCGGTTATTTCCATTCCAAAAGATCAGAAATTATTACATATTAAAGTCAAATTAGACAAACTACAAAAATACATAGAAATTTGCAAAGGAAAAAAAAAAAAAAAAAAAAAAAAAAAAAANAAAAAAAAAAAAAAAAACATTTACCTATAGTTAGACGTACTGCATTCCGTCTTTTTACCCATAAATGTCAAAATCCATTCTCTCGTTATTTCTTCTATTTTTTAAATAGGATATCTTGAAATTTGTCAGAGGCATTTGCTTAAAAATATTACCAATGTTCTCGACATATTTGTCCAGGTTTCAACTTTTTTTTGAATCCCCACCCTCTTCATAAAATAAATAATTTTGAACACCCCAAGAAAGAAAAAAAAATAATAAATTGAACAATACTTTTTTTGTCCCAAATTTAATCTTAAAAAAATAATACATTGCATTTTTTTTAATTTTTTTGCAATTGCGTTTAGGTAATATCCATAAAATATTTAGATGCTAATATTTAAAAAGAAAAATGTAAAAAGGCTCTAAACAAAATAACATAAAGATATCTTGATGACAGCTAACACGATTAGATCCGCGAAATCGGAGTACTTTCTAATATTGTATCAATATAGCCAAAGCATAATAGATCAATAAAATAATGTGAGGAGCACCCCAAGGAATCGATACGAAAATAAAACGTAACAAGCAAAGAATACAAAAGTACAAGAAAATACAAAATAAAAAATTCAAGAAACCTTCAAAATAAAATAAAAATATTATATAAATCAGGTAGAAAGTTCAGACTTCTATTCACTTACTGATATCTTGCAAAAATGATTTAAAAATATTTTCGCCATACGAAATATTTCACACAATACATACATAAATCAATATTAAAAAACTCTTAATTCAAAATTTAGTCTCCGAGGGCAATTGGGTACCTTAACTATTCAAGCTTTCATCTTAACTATTTATCATTTTATCAGAGTAGAATAAAGTATTTGTTAATTGATGCCAGTAATTTGCTTACCATAAAAATTAAATCAAATTTCTCATTTAATAAAAATTTGTTACGCCAAGCAAATTAATTCTTTTATGATGATTGCCAAATTTTTTTCGCAAATTTAGTACAACTAACTAAACTGGCGAGTGATCTTGATAAAGTCGCTATGCAGTTTTGGGGGTTGACTAACATCAGCGAGCAGAGGCTTTGCCATCTAGTATTAAATATTAAACTAGTACTGTCCCTTCGTAGAGTGCTTTGCTTTCTGATCATAATAAATTATATTCTGTAATCAGTAAAACAAAAGCCAAGCAATTTGGGATAAAATAAAAAACTTTTTTTTTCTGTTAATAAATTCTGATTTAAAATAATAACAATAATAACTCATATCTGTACAGAGAAATTATTTTTGGTGTCTACTTTACAAATCAAGAAACAACACAATTAGCGATTGTGAAACACTATTTTGTATACAAAAATAGTTACATGAAAGGAAAATAAAAATAATGTAACTTTTACAAGAATAATAAACGCAATGAAAATAATAATCACGTGCATAAAAATAAATTTTGCATAAAAGCTTTTTAAAAAAAAAAAAAAAAAAAAAAAAAAAAAAAAAAACTTGAAAACGACTTATACTTGTCAACATGAAGTTGATCTCCGAATTCATGTATATTTATAATAAACAAAATAAAATTTGATATTAACGTTGATGGATTAGCTTAGGTCTAAATATTAACTTTAATATTCAGTAAAATAGTTTATCTAACCACTGTCATTTAATAAATGTCCATTCTAATAAAAGAGTAGAAAATAAGACTTTTATTTATGAATTTAAATTTTATCAAAAGAGCCGAAATAATTAGAGCTGATGAAACTTTAATTTAAAATATTTTTTAGTGATGTTAACTTTCTTAAAAATAATAAATTTTTACGTAAGCAAATAGTCACGCACTTTACTCTTAACGTTAAAAAATAATAATAAATAAAATGGAACAAAAAAATCTTTTTTCTCATTAACTCTCTGTAATTAATCGTACTAATTGATTAATAAAGCCCTGCAGTTATCAACAAATTATCCTTTTCATGGAAGGAAAATTCTCAAGTTACGCACCTTAAGCAATAATGAATCTTTTCTTCCCTCCCCCCTCTCTCCTTTTATCAAGGTATAAACAGGATGTCAACTACGGACTAGACTCATCCCCTAATTTTTCAAGTTCAAAGACGTCTCGTCCGCACATATCACACTTCTCATCACCCTGGGAGCGCATGCGCAATCCATCCATTCTTTATTAACCCTCATTGAACAGAAAACCGCAGCATTAAACTATGATGCAACCCGTCTATCATTCCAAATCTATTTTTTCATTGGTTTATTGAAGAACCAAAGAGGCGTGGCATTAGTGTCTATGGGTGGAGCTAAAGCGAGTGGGTGGCTTTGGAACCGTCAAAGCCAGGTTGGCCTCTTTGAGTGACTGAGTGATTATGTGACTAACCAGGATAACAACTTTCTTTTCCCCCTAGTTTTAGAAGACTGGTTCTTGGCTCAAGCATCCTCGAGTCAGCAGGTAATACTTAAACGCCATATTTCATCAGCTATTCTCTAACGCGTGACGCTGGAGCAACGAGTTTTGAAAAAGTGCCATTTCAGACAAACGCTTTAAAGAAGTGCTTGTTTGTTTAGATCCGTATTAGCCTCCGGGCTATCACTTTTATATCAACTAAGTGTGTGCTCTTGATTTGTCGATAAAAAAGAAATAAAATTTAAATAAATTCATTAATTTTTTTAAAAAAAAGGGATGTTTGAGCGCTAATAGGAATTACTAACGTAAAATGATATTTTAGTGTATATCATAATGAACAAAAATTCAAACTTTTGAGTATAGTGATGATTGATTTATATTAGCACACCAACCATTAATCGATGTTTTTTAAGCACAAAATGAAATTCTATGGTGAAAAATTATACCATTGTTTACATGGGGAATTCGACAGTTTTTAAAAACCACCATAGTGGTCTGAGTTCCTGTGGAAGTTATTTCAAGTAATGCTAAAATCTCTGATTCTGTTGCTGATCACAAGATTTTCATAAAACATAAATAAGTTCCTATTTTCTGAAAATGTCTAACTTAACAGATTCAGAATCACAGTCATCTGAAAAAATTCCATCTCCGCCACCAGAGACCTCAGAGGAGCAAGAATTAGACGAAGATAATGAAGAAGTGGACATTGACGTCACGAGTGTCCCATCAGAAGGGGACCAACTTGTGTCATCTGATATTGATCCAACGTCTGAGGATGATGAATATTTTAAACCTATCAAAAAACTGTGCATGGCTCCCTCGAGACCTAGCGCCCCACCGGTGCCGGTTCCTGCACCCAGCAGTAAACCGTTAAGCTCCTTTTTTATTAAAGACATATTAAGCCATAAACCGGCGTCAATTCAGCGGACGTTGTCCACGGACGTCCGTGGCATTGTAAGGCCGTGGGACTTGGACAGTTCGTCGGCATCGAGAAGAAGACCCCGGTCGGCGGATGACGACTCACGGTCGGAAAGATCGGAGAGCGATTCTCCGGAAAGCCCTGCCGTAGCTAACCCTAATGCTTCACCCCTAGACGCCCTGTTTGAAATGACCAGCAAGGCATTTGAGGGACTTGAAGCAAACGAAAAAAGTGCAGGTAAGTTATTAGGCACTTGATGCCATTTCTGATCTGTTCAAAAATTTTAATCGTCATCGATTTTTTTTTTCTTTCACTACAACATATGTAGACAATAAAATTACCATCGGTTATAACTACTGGTTAAATACCATCGTAATTATTAAACATGATAAAATAAATAAAAAATTGTCTTCTATTTAGAAAATTGTCTGACAAACATAAGGAAGTGTGAATACTTTTTATATGTATCGATGATGGTTTTATTTTTGTTTACATTTCTGGACAGCTCAAAACTAAATGACAACAATTTTCCTTTTAGTGCTATAAATGTAAACAGCAACATTCGCAAACCGGTTTTAAAGCATGATAAGTAATTAACATGTAAATCAATTATAAAACATGATAAGCCAAATAAAATAAGACTTTTATTTAGAAAACTGTCTCAGAAACATAAGGAAATACGAATACTTTTTTGTGTATTGATGATATTTCTATTTTTGTTGCCAATTCTAAATGACAACGTTTTCTTTTAGTGCAATAACTGTAAACAATGACAAACGTAAACCGGTTTGAAATATCTTCATAAACATAAAACTCAGTAAAAACAAATAACATAGATCTTTTATTTATTGTCCCACAAACAAAAGAAATGCAATATTTTAGGTAATATTGCTATTTTATTTTTTCTTACAACTTTTCATAGTCATCGATTTTTCTTTTCATAAGAAGAAATGTAAACAATAAAACAAGTGAATTGGTATTCAATATGTGTTCTTAATTATTGCTGCCCTTTTGTTCTTGTATGAACATTTTTACAGTCGTTAGTTTTTTCTTTTCAAAGAAACAATGTTAACAATAACAAATGCAAATCAGTTTAAAATACCACCATAATTATAAAATTTGATAACAGCAAGTAAAATGTACCTCGTATTTTAAAAATTGCACACAAACAAACAAAACAAAAAAATGCGATGTTTTCAAGTATTAATGCTATTTTGTTTTTATTTACACCTTTTCAGTCAACAGGTTTTTTTTTTCAATTGAAGAAATGTAAACAATACCATTCATAAAATGGTATTAAATACCATCAGAATTAAAGTTTTATTAAAAGCAAATAAAACGTGACTTGCATTTAAACAATTAGAAAAAATTATAAATACTTTAAATCTTACAAATTTATTATGTATTGATTTAAATAACAGAAAAAAATATATGAAATGGTTGCAACTAAGTTTTACTGGAAACAATGACAGTCTTAACATTTTGAGAGCTAAAAACAATTGTTTTTAAAGTATTTTTGTTTACAATCAACACAAAAGTACCATTCAATTACAGCAACATAAAATATTACAGCAACATTTAACAAATGTAATTAATTTTTTCTGAGTTTATTTGTGACGAATAGTTTGCATTTATTGAACTATCAAAAATAACAATTGTTAAAAAAAAATTTACATTAAAATTCAAATTACAAAAATTGAGGAGATAATGTTCAATCGTAAAACTTTGCTAAGATCATAATTGCATTTTTTTAAACTGATAGAAACGTACAATTCAATAACAGCAATATAAAATCCATAATTATTAAAGACATTAGAGGAACTTAAATTTTTAGGCTGAACATTTTAAGTTGTTTGCCTTAATAAAGCTAACAAAATTAACAGACTTAACTAAAAATTTAAATTTTAATTCAAGAATACAAAACGCAGAAATTAATATAGCTTTATTTTATAAATAGCACTCAAGGTATTATCTATAACACTCATATATTTTAAGTTTAAACGGATATATTCATTTGTAAGAATCATTATGATAAATGAAAGACTGTCAAACAAGATACATTAATAGCATTTTTTTTCATTTTCTCCTGTGTTATAAATTGCATTCTTGAACTAATATTTAGTTAAGAAAAAAGAGGGTATTCAATCAAATCGTATTTGCTTACTATCATTTAATGACATAACTTTTATGTGTCAATATCTAATAACATGTATAAGTAAATAGGTTAGTTCCTTAATTTTAAGTTAGTATAATTCCTTAATTTTACTGAATATTCAAAACAGAAAATAAACGTTCCATCAAAGTATGAATACAAAGTACCTAAATTCTTTTTTACGTCGAGGAAATATGCAATAAAATATAAGTAAAAATAAGAACAAACTATTAACATTTTTTAATTTTTAATACTTATAAAAACTTGCAAATAGTACAAACTATTAACATCCATATCGTGCATAAGACTTTATTATTATATTTTCGAGAAATTGCATAATTGTTTTGCTTTATGTAAACATCAACTCAGAGGTAGTCTTTATTCATCCTTATAAATGATTACGATTGTTATAGTGATTACGATTGCTGTAAAAAAAAGCTAAGTATGATCAAAACTACCAGAATAGGGTAAAATTTACCGCTTTGGTAAAGATTTTTGTAAAATATGGTTTTATAATAGGTGATAAAATTTGGTATGTGTGCTAAAATTTGATAATGCCTGAAAGTATGGCATATAATACAAACCATTTATTTGGGAACTATGGTTTTGAAAACCAGAACTTCTGGTAATTAATATATATATATATATATATATATATATCTTTATATATATATTTCGTNTTGATTATATATATATATATTTATATATATACTGTTGTTTCTTTAAATAAGTAATATCGTAAGAAATTCATCCTAAGTTTGGGCTATATGAAGAAAAGGAAAGAAACTTTTACACAGTTTAGTTTAATACAGTTAGTATACTTTGTATAAATTCCCTTTCATAGCAGCTTTGCATAGTAAAATAAAATATACTATAACAATAATAGAAAATATACTATACAAATAAATAGAAGTCGAAAAAGCTTTGAAATACGAGGAAAATTTAAAAACTTGAAACTGAGACTTAAACACTTAAACATGAAAACTTTTTTCTCCTTTTAGTTTTTCAACTTATTTTTTAAATAAAAAAAAATCAGCTGGTAGATATTTTTCTTTTAATTGAATTAGCAAGCTTTAAATAAGTCTAATATTTGATACATTTAATAAATCTTTATTGTTTAAGTAATGAAGTGTTACGGATAGTTAAAAGAGATATTATTAGATCATTAGTCTATAACACAACCTAAATTCAAACATCTCTTATCTCTAAAATTTTTGTTATTATCTTTCTGAGAAATATTTTTAATACGTTAAATATCAGCATACAATTTTAAAACGAATTTGAAGACATAAAAAATTAACAAAACATTTAACTTTGCACAAACAAATTTTTGATATCTGTTACCTGATTTTGTTTTAATTAGCCTATACTTTTAAATTATGTTTTGTAAAAATGTAAGAAAGGAATTGCTTTTATGCCAGCCTTTGAAACAAAGCTTAGCAAGAAAAAAGAAACAAATTAAACCTATGGTTAAACCAATTTAAAAAAAGATTTTCATGGAAAAAAAAGAAGCAAACATACATTAAAGCCTCAGCAGTTTCACTAATATTAAAAAAAAAATTTAAGCGCTCGTAATAAGATGAATCACTTTATCTAATATGATATTTATACGTTTCTGAATTTTAATTTCATGATAACAGATTAAAACAATAAAAAAAAAGTACATACTAAAACTAATTTACCATTTTTTTTTCCTGATGAGTCATTTCCTCCACTCTTTTTCATGATACATGCTTTTGTTAAGCAGATGTGAAAATCAAAAAATAATGACGCACATTCATGACCACTTAGAGATTTTTCAAAGAACCCAGAGGTTTTTGACACTAAAGGCTTTTGAATACCTCTTTTTTTGTGACGATTTTTCGCATTTTGAAAGGGAAATTGACAGCCTGAGGTAGCCTTTTAGCCACGAAAAACTTCAAAACAAAATTTTCTTAAACGATTTGTTTCGTGTTATTAAAGCAGGCGACAAAAAAAAATAAATTGAATGTAAACTAATTAAACGGCAACTTCTTCCCCGTAATTTGAGCACTTAAATGAAATTGAACTTCAGTAGAAGTCATCATCATGAGTTTTTGATTGAATCATTGTCTAATAAATTGTATAATGTGATTATTTAAATGGCTTTTCAGAGAATAGAAAACACTCCATCAACATTTTCTGTGGAATATTTTCCTTTTCCTAGGATTCCATCAGGTGTTGTGAAATCTAAAAAGCTTGCGCAGGGAAACTATTCAAAATCAATATATTGTATTAAATATTTCACAAAACAACACTGAACTATATATATATATAT